CGATGCCATCAAGTGGAGTCAATTCCGGCTCATTGCAAACCTACAGGACAGAGTAGAACTGCCCCATAGGGTTTCCAAGGCTGTAATCTTTATGGAAGCAGACTGCCACATCTTTCTTCTGCAGAGTAGCTGGCGGGTTCGAACTGCTGCCCTTTCAGTTAGCAGCCGAGCACTTAACCACTGCGCCACCAGGGCTCCTTCTCCCCCTGCAAGGGTGGCTTTTTCTAAAGGTGGGTGGGCCCTTGTGCTGGATGGGCAGGCTCAGAGTGGTGTGTGAGATGTCCCTGTGCCCCTGGCGGTGCCCCCCAGTGCCTCCAGCACCCCCAGTGCTCTTCCAGGCCCCCAGCTCTCTCCACCCCCAGCACCCGCCAGCACCTCCCCATCACTCCCTACTGCTCCTCAGCTCCCCACAGTGCCGTTCTCAGCATGCTTCCAGCACCCCCAACATCCCCGAGTGCCCCCCGCCCCCCACAGTGCCCTTCTCAACATGCCTCTGGCACCCCCTGCATCCCCCAGCACCCCCAACATCCCCCAGTGCTCCCAGCCCCCCACAGTGCCCTTCTCAGCATGCCTCCAGCACCCCCAGTGCCTCCCCATTCCCGCAGTCCCTCTCAGTCTCCTCCCAGGGTCCACTCGGTGCTCCAGCAGCCCCTCCCAGAGTCCTCCCAGAGCCCCTGGCATCTCCCCAGCACCCCCCAGGGCCCTCCCTGAGGAACGTGCTTCTCTGCTCATGGCCGAGGTCAGACCAGCTCACTGCCTTTGCTCTGGAGGAGGTCCGGCCCAGGAGAAACGCAGCCTCCCAGGCGACCTGAGTCAAGGGCCCAGCGCAGGCCAGCACCCCCTGCCTGGCTCCCACCGTCCCCGGGTCGTCGGGATACTGCCAGACCTGCCTAGCTGGCCCTCTCCTGCCTATCCGGCTCATCCACATGGCTGGCCAGCCTGGGAGCCCGGGGCCAGGCTCTCCCCTGCTGCCTTGCCCACTGCACACCAAGGTGCCCTCCTCAGCTGACCGCCTTTCTGTCCTCTGAGATGAGCGGCAGGCTGAGCCGGCTGGTGCCCGCCGCTTGTTAAACTTCCAGAAATCTTGCAAACTGATTGTTAAACACAGCCGTCATTAAACGTTAAATTGTGTAAACTTACAAGAGAATGAATTACAGTAACAGCAAAGGTAACAGCATTCCCCGACGATTTGATTTTACCATTATCTAAAGGAGCCCTGGTGGCGCAGAGGTTAAGCGCTCTGCTGCTGACCAAAAGATTGAAGATTACAGCCTAGGAAACCCTATGGGGCAGTTCTATTTTGTCCTATGGGGTCGCTGTGAGTCAGAAGCCACCGCACCCAACAACAACAATTATCGATGCCTTTGAGGTGATGTGCATCAGTATGGTGGAAATAACATATAGGTGGTGTGCCACTGGGCCCGTTCTCCCACCTCCACCTTCCGTGAGGTCATGCAGCTTCAGATTGGCTCATGATCTCCTCCCCACCCCTGCTGGTTGTTCTAGGGTGTGGGACCCAGCCCAGGCCTGAAGAGCTGGGGTTTATGTGGGTGGGAGTGCTCCCTGCATCCCCCAACACCTTACACCTCCGGTTTCCTCCTCTGAGCGCTCTTCCTTTGCGCACGGTAGACCTTCATTAGTTTCCTAGATCCTTCCAGAACACTGGAGAGGGAGCCGTAAATACCCCGAGGACCAGATCTCTCGCCTACCCAGGGTAATGCGGTCTTGAGTCCAGCTGAAAAGGGTGTAAAAAAAGAGGAACGCTCCAGAGCGGCCTCCACCTGCGTCTGTGGAGGGAGACCCACCTGGCTCTGCAGCCACCGTGGCCCGCAGGGCATCCCAGAAAGCTGCAGGCTGGACCCGAGGGTCCCAGCCCTCTGACCACTGCCACCGTCTGTCCGGGCTCCATTTTCCTCCCAGAGATCCCGCTGCCCCGGGACCCCTCCACCCCCTCTGACGCCGTCCACTCCACCCTCTGCAGAGAGGGGACCCGCCCTCAGGGCTCAGGTACCTAGGTGCCAGGACGCTAGGTCTCCTCCCCGGGGTAAAAGCCCGAGACCCCAGCCGAGGGTTGGGAAAGCCTTCACAGCTCCGGAGGCGCAAAACGCCCGGCCTGGCGAAGGGTTCCTGCCTCCACCCAGCCGCCTACAGCCGGGCTCCCCGCCCCGCACGACCGCTCCCTCTCGGCCCGGGATGGCCTCGCCACCCCACCCCTGCACGAAGGCCGGCCGGGAAGGGCCCCTCCGCCGCGACGCGTGGGGTGGAGGGAGAGGGCCGAGAGGTGGCAGCCGGCGGGCGGGGGACAGGACCCTGCATCCGGTCTCGGGTCTGCGGCTGGAGACAGAAGCCGTCGCGGCCCTCGCGCGGGCTCTTCCTTCCGGGTCCCGGGGGTGCTCTCGGCTCAGACTCGGCGTGGGGACTCGCGTGACTAGCCCCCTCCTGCAGCCCTTCCCGCGGCCCGGGTGGAGGAAGGGAGGGATGAGTGCGCGAGCCGGGCACGCTGGGCAAGGAACCCGCACACCCTCCCGCCGCGGGCGCGG